TTTCCTTTAAATCCCAACTAAAATCCCACCTTCTACATGAAGTCTTCCCCAACCCCTTTTAATTCTAGTGTCTTCTCTGGGGCAGCTAGCTGGTATAGTGGATAGAGCTAGGAGGACCTGAGTTCAGATCTGGTGTCAGACACTTGACACTTACTAGCTGTGTGACCTTGGGCAAGTCATTTCACCCCAATTGCCTCATCAAAAAGAAAAAAAAAATTCTAGTGCCTTCTCTCTGCTACTTTGTTCCTGTTTACCCTGTATATGTCTCCTTTGTGTATATTTGTTTGCATGTTGTCTCCCCAGTTAGACTGTAAACTCCTTGAAGGCAAGGACTCTTTCCTCTTTTCCTATCCTCAGAATTTAGCACAATGCCTGGCTCATGGTAGGCACTTAATGTTTATTGATTGATTGGAGTCAGGAAGATCTGAATTAAAATCTAGCCCCAGACACTTTCTAGATGTGTGATCCTGGGTAAGTCACTTAACCTTAGGCTGCCTCAGTTTCCTCAACAAATGGGAATAATAATAGCACTTACCTCACAGAACTGTTGTCAGAATCAAAAGAGAAAATATTTGTAAAGTGCCTGGCACATAGTAGGTGCCTCTTCTCTTCCTCTCAGTGCTACATGTAGAGTTTGCATAATATGCAATTTGTATTTTATAGAGGCAGCCTAGGTGGCACAGAGTATAGAGTAGTGGGCCTGGACTCAAAAAGATGAGTTCAAATCCAGCCTTAGACGCTTTAATAGCTGTGTGATCTTGGGCAACTCAAAACTAGTTTGCCTCAGTTTCCTCATCTTTTAAATAGGGATAATAACACCTCCCTCCCAGGGTTATTGCGAGGATCAAATAGATAGTTGTAAGGCTCTTAGTATACTGCCTGGCACATAGTAGGTACTATGTAAATGCTTGTTACTTAGTAGTAGTAGTAGTAAAAATGAGGCTATCAGAAACCAAAATCAGTCTATGGCCCAAGTGAAAGTGACAGGTCTAAAACATCTGAGAAACAACTATTAATCAGCTCAGTGATTTTACAGAATTGCAAAATGCCATGTGGTAGGGCCAAATTCATTCAACCAGAGGCCCATCAAAGCCAACCAGAACTTGACCAAGAATTCCCGCTACATGGTCCATAGGTGTGAGGCTCTCCGCTGAAGGAGCCCTCTCAAGGCAACCTGCTCCCAAGGCTGACCTTAGAGACCATCCCGTCCTGTCCTCTCATTGTACAAATAAGGAAACTGAGGCCCTGGCAGGTCAAGTCACTTGCCTAAGATCACACAGGCAGCTTCAGAGATGGGATCTGAAAAACTTACCTATATTCTTTGACTCCACAGCCAGAGCTTTAACATTTTTCTTGACATCAGTCCTAAATTTGCCTCTTTGGAGCCACCTATGTTTTGCTCTTAATTCTTCCCTTTGAGGTCACAAAGACCATGATTAATCTTTTGCACAATAGCCCTGAAGTGTTTGAAAATAGCTATCGTGCCCCCTGCCTCCCTCCCTCCCCCCAAACTTTCTCTTCTAGGCTAAACAACAACCCCAGTTCATTCAACTGCTCATTGAAATGACTTTGAGGACCTTCATCCCCCTGGCTGCCCTCCTTTGGACATCCCCTAGCTTATTCTTGATGTCCAGTCTTGGATTTTCTGGTGTGCTTTAATGTACATGATCTCATCAGAGAAAATTGTTCATTTTTGAAATGGAAATATTCACATTATTTGCTTAACTGAAGCAGTTTGACAAGTAGAGGGCAAAATTAGATATACCTGATGCTTCTAAATCAAGGACACTTGGTCAAAAATGAATGTTTTCTCCTGTTTTACAGAGAGCGATTAACAAATCTGGATCTCCAGGGACTATCTCAGATTTGTGGTATTCTAAGATGTATTTCTTAAAAAGCTGTCATTGGCTTTCCATCTCTGCAATATGGCAGCTATGAATAGGCCTCAAATCCCTTTTCTAGTTTTTTCTCAAGTGTATGATACTATGGCTTAAATTTAGCTGTTTAGTCATTTTCAGTCGTGTCTGACTCTTTGTAACCCCATTTGGGGTTTTCTTGGCAGAGATACTGGAGTGGTTTGCCATTTCCTTCTCCAGTTCATTTGACAGATGAGGAATTAAGGGCCAAAGTTAAAACAACTTGCCCTTGTTCAGGAAAATTCTGATTCCAAATCTGACACTCTATATACAGTTACTACACTGTATCTATACCGCGAGGGTTTGTTGTTTGTCATTCATTTTTGAAGAGGACCAGTGACATTGTAGGGTGCTGTCTTGCTTGCTCATAAATTGGATTTAACCGAGGCAGAACTGCACAAAGTTGTCAGCCTCACTCTCTTTTCCTGAGTCATCAAAGTTCAGTGGCAGGACAAAGGTCAGGATGACTAGAGACGGCCTGGGATGCAGTGGATGACTTCAGTGTCTTTGATGCCCAATCAAGCTCTAAGAGCTCCACAGCACCTGCTTCATCCATCGTCATGGCTGTTGGTACAAATTGGTCTTATCTGCCCATTCTGTTGGGGGAAGTCTTCATGTGCTTGGGATAGACACTCCACTAATTCACTGATGGGTTTGAGGCCCATTTGTTACCCTCAACCTGGTTTAGCCCATCTGCCAAGATGATTTACTAGGGTGTAGTGTAATGTGGAGGCACCACAGTACCAAGGAAAAAGCTTAGGATTCAGACTCAGAGGACATTCTATCCTGGGCCTCAGTTTCTTTATCTGCAAAGTGAGGGGATTCATAGAGTAAGAGCTGGAATGGCCCCTACGGTGGACGGAGAGGAGAGGGAGAAAAAAGGGAAATGATACGGAGCAAGCATTAAATTTTTTTCCAGCCAAAGACAAGGTTTATTAGAACAATGATCGGGTGTGGGTGAGATTTAAAGAATCCACCATATTGGCCAGACTCTTAAGGAATCTAAGCATTTGTACTGCTGATGCAAGCGGGCCAGATTTTAAGAATCTGAGTACCTTAGTGGAGACAAGATGAATCTTATATATAGAAAGACTGTGGGAAAGATCTAGGAGTGGCCAAGTAGTCTGGGGTGCCTGGAGGAGAGGTCTGAGGATCAGGATGAGAGTGGCCAATAAACTGGGGTGAACAGAACTCCAGGGACCTGGACCACTTTTGGCCAAGGGAGAATGGAGTCTAGATAGGATTAAGGGTGGGAAGTGGCCAGGGGCCAGGGGAGGTAACTTGAACAGAATTGGGAGATTGGGTTTAGCCACAATGAAAGACCAGTTAAGTGGATTATAGTCTCAAGCAAATGCCAGAGATTTGGGAAAGTCCAAAGACTTTCCTTTTTGGGGTCCAGATCCCAAAGACATGGTCTTTTCCTTTTAGGGGTTCAGATCTCATCCACATCATTCCCCCTTCAAACAAATGGGACCCAAAGTCTTTTGGGGTAAGGGGTGAAGGTCTTGGCTTCTGAAACTGCTTTCTGCTGGCAAGGGACATAGAGCTGTCCCTGCCTTGAGAGGGTCCCAAAGTGGTTGACTGGAACCCAGCACAGGCTGCAACCAGGGGATGAAGAGGGGACAAAGAGGGGACATTGGCTGGTACCCGCTGTTTGCTACCAACTATAGGGAACAAGCATTTATTAAGTGTCTACCATGTGCCAGGCACTCTGCGTGCTTCATGAATTTTAGGAAATTTTAAATTTTGGAATATCAAAAATTGTGAAATTTTCAAATACTAAAATTATGAAATTCTGGAATACCAAAAATTATGACATTTTTGGTATTCTTACATTGTAGTTTTTAAAAAGGTGCCAGTCACTGAATTCAACCCCCTCATTTTTGGACTAGATGATCTGTAAAAATTCCCCTCCAGTTTTAAATTTATGATTCCCTAATTCTTCCAAATAATTGGAAAGTTCAAATCAAGGATTACAGCCGAAGAAAGAAAAAAGAAGCCAGAGTATAGCCAACCTTTTTTAATTAGAGTATATTGTACTTCCAAACTGGATACACTATAAATTGGCAATGCAACATAAGATGCAACATAGGAATATACCAGTTACTGTCAAAATGACCCTGTACAGCCTTAGAATGCAAAAAGCTTTTTACAATACAAATTTTCAGTAATGTACACAAACCTCGACAGCGTGATCTTTTGAACATAATACAAGTTAAAAAAGGACTGAAGGAAGAAAGAAAGTGCTGAGAACTTTAACTGCATTACCATATGGAAAAATAAGTTAGCCTTCATCAAAGAATGCATAGTGAAAACAGGGATGACATTAGTTGGTGGTTGGATTCCTCCCAAAATGTTAGTGTTTTTTGTTTTCTGTTTTTTTTTTTTTTTTTTTAAAGGGAAAGGATTCTCTGTGGGGACACAGCCTTCCCTGAGCTTCAAAATGCATACCAATTCACGGGACGGCTCGTCTAGGCGAATCCTGAAAATTTCTGTAAATACTCTCCTTTATTAACAACAATAATAATAATAATATAAAAAAACCAAACAAACTCCAAACACACCTTTTTTTTTTTCTCACTCAGAAAACTTTTATAATTTATCAGAAAGGGGAGGGGGAATCTTTCCAAAGTGCTAAACAAAGTTGCCCAATTACATTAAGCGTGACTAGGCCATTCAAAAATACGGGTTCCGTGGCAAACAGAGAAATGCATGGCATTTGAGTGTTGAGGTTGTCTCCTTCCCCTCGAGCTTGGCTCGGGCTCTGCCTCTTGGCCCGACTTCCTATTGCACGGCCAGGGTCTGGTCAGACCTGCTCCTAACGATCCTAGCCAGCCGGGTCTCCCCTTTTCAGGGTGCCCCTGTCAGTGTGGTAGTGTGATCTGCCTCTGTGGAAAGGTCCTGGGCATGGCCCGTCCCTCTCGTATTAGCCTTTTGCCACCGAACGGGGTCACTTTGAAAGCAGACTATTGCCCAGTGGCAAGTTCTCCTCCATTACATGGGGAATTCAAAGAATTGCTTCTTAAAAATAAGGCTTCCTCCACCTTCCCCCCTCTCCCACCCCCACCCTCACCCAGTCCCTGCCCCAGCTGCCCCAGGATTTCTTGGAGTGTATGTACTGCATTTTCAACTGAGAAACATTGCCGTGGCAAGGTCAAATCCCAGACCTCCAATGGCCACTTGCTAAGAACAAAACTGAGGAAAAATGGCTGGGGGAGGTGGGGGGGGGAGGAGCAGACAGGAGCCTCATCCTCCTTACCTTCTGAAGCCCTCCCTCCAGCCCCTGTCTACCCTTCTCCTTAGTGTAAACAGGCTCACCTAGTGCACAGAACAGGCTTTCCCCCTAGGGGACTGGAACATGCCTGCCAGGGGGTGGGGAAAGGTAAGAGATTGGGAAAGGGGCAGCCTACAGTGAGGATTAGACAGTACAGTCATCTGGCTTCCTGTAGAACTGTACCAAGTTCAAGGTGGCAGTCAGTAAAGGGAATTGCCTGGAGGAAGAAAAATTAGAGCTACTTTATTTTTCCTGGTGAAACAGATGAAAAAAACAAAAAACAAACAAATAAACAAAAAAAACAAAACCAAACCAAATCCCAATTCTAGGCTAGCACACTGTGGGAAAACAGCAACATAATAAGAAAGCATCCCTCCTGTACACCAGCTCCTTTCAAGAGATAAATAATATATATATATATATATATATAAAAAAATTCATTTTCTAGACTTCCCATTACTATACAAAGCACATTTCTTTCCTGCTCTTTAGGCCTGTTTCACACTGGAAATCCTGTTGTCTTAAAAATACAAAAGCAATGAAAATACTCAAAGATTTTCTTTTAAAATCACCTGTTGCCTTCCCAGATCAACAAAGGGTTCCGCAACCAATCCACATCTGCTTCTTGCTACAATAAAGTGCTGCGTATAAGTTGTCATTTTAATGACCACAAAATAAGAGCTTTAAATAAGTCTAAAGTTAGCTTCCTAGCAGGGTATGGTCCTACCAGGTGTTAACGAAATGGAATACAGTTTTTACCGATAACATGGAGGAGAATATACATATAGCCAGAAGATCTGCAAATACAACTGAGACTTTTTTTTTTGCTGGGGGTGGGGAGGGGCATAGAACTGAACAGTATGTTCAAACAGCACCTTTTGTTGTGTCTTTATATTTTAAAGAAGTTTTAAATTAACTTTTCTGACACAGTCTCCATTCCAAAGTACAGGTCCATTTTTTCCTCTTTTCCTTTCCTTTCCTTCCCTTTTGTTTTTCAGATGAGAAACACAAGCTAGTGCAAGTCTAAAAGCACTGTGCAAACCTGCCTTTTGTTTTTTTAGTCTGAGCATTTATACCCAGAATTTATCCAAACCCCATTTTACTCCCCTTGGCTGGTTATAACCAACATCCAATTTTTCACTCATACCAAATGGTTCCTGCAAACAAAAAGATAACCATTGCATTAATGTGGGATCTATCTGATTGGCCCTTTCAAAAAGTCGCACTCTCTGGAGCCCTTACCAAAAAGATTGTATCCAGGGGTGTGCATCCACGTGGGTGTGTGCGTGGACACCCACGTGCGGTGCTTTGGGTGGCATCAGCTGCAGTGCTGAGTTATTTCTTCCAGATGGACTGCCCCATCCCCTCACCTTCAGAGCCAGTGAAGATCAGAGGGTAAGACTCGATGTTCTGTTAGAAATCTCAGGCAATACTGAAGAGGCTGGTCAATCCCTTCGTCAGCTCAAGCCCTGGGCCCTACAATCCTGGTGCTCAGAACTATAGAGGGGAAGGTGTCGAAGGACCCTGGGGAAAGAGGCGAGGGCAATGTACCAACTCACCGAGGAAAACAAGCTCCTCCTCAGGAAATAAGCCAGGACAAAGAACAGGCAAAAGAAACGGTGTGGCCCGTGAGCCGACACAGTCTCACTTTGCCAACAAGCACTCACGCTCACTCACGCAGCCAACTCACCCAAACAAAAAGAAAATGCACCAGTATGTCACCTTACAAGTGCTGATTGCCATTGAGGACACTCTCGTCAGCCTTTGACTAACGAGGCAAAATTTCTTCAAGATAAAAGCGAGGGGCAGGGAAGGGGGTGGAGGGAAGACATGCCTCTGAAGGTAGGAGAATGCAACAGGTCACCTCTCTGAAGGCTGAATCAAGCAGCTTTCGCGTCAATGCAATGAGCACACTCAGAGGGCCACTTCTCTAAACCTCATGAATGATATTCAGTACACAGGGTACAGACCCCTGTCTGTCTCTGGGTTTTGTAGCAACACATACCTGCTGGAGTTGTGGTGTGTGTGAGAGTGTGTGTGTGTGTGTGTTGGTTTTTGGTACAGAAACAAGGCTGCCCTCAGACAGTCTCTGCCCTTTCTGTCAATCCGAGATAGGCAAGGAAGGAGTGTTTGGGTGAGGTGATGCTAGGAGGTGCAGTCTGAGGTCGGGGAGGGTGGAATGTGAGATCCGAGTGGTTCTTGGGGTAAAGCATCGTCAAGGGAATCAGATGGGCAAAATCCGAGTTCCGATACTTATCAAAGCGCAAAGAGGAGCCGTTGATAGCCAAGGCCTTGAACGCCAGGTTGGGTTCTGAGCTGCTGCCGTGGGCAGCTGACAGTGCCACTGTCTGCAAGGCCTGGGAGGCGGACATGATCGAGAGGGGAGACAAAAGGTTCCGGGACCTCCCCACCACAAGGAGGGGACCCCCGGGAGTGGGGTCCTTGGGGGCTGGACTCTGGCCCTTCTTCTCCTCCTCCACACAGTCCCCCCCATTCTGGTGTTTCTTCACGTGGCGGCTGAAGACGAAGGGGTGGGTGGTCTTGAACAGGCACTCGTCGCAGCTGAAGGTCTGGCGCGGGGCGTGTTTCAGCTTCTTGTGCAGGTTGAGATTGTCTTTGCGCTTGCAGCTGTAGCTGCACTGGTCACAGTGGAAGGGCCGCTCGCCGGTGTGGACACGCACATGCTCGATGAGCTTGTTGGCTGTCTTGGACAGGTAGCCACACTGGTCGCATTTGTAGTGGTTGCCAAGGCGATGCTCCCGAATGTGCATCTCCAGCTCCAGCTGGTTGGCCTTGACCATCTGGCAGATCCGGCACTTGTACTCCATCTTGTAGTGGGTCTTCAGGTGGCACTCCATGGCTGCGGGGCGGTTGGTGGAGTAAATGCAGAATGGGCACCTGCCAAGGGATGAGATGACAGGGGAGGTTCAGCTGGCGGCTGCCTCTATCCCCAAACCTCCCCGGCTCTTTACTACACACCACCTTCCAACCCCTTCAGCCCAGCCCAGCTGCCTCTTGGGGTGAACTGCCTTTGGGTCCCTCTCTTCACCTTTCACTGCAAATAAAGCACGCCCTGACCTGGGTAAGCTCGGCCCAAGTCGGGCCTCTTGGCTGGAAGTGGACACCCTGGCCATCATGATGGAGAGAAAAGGACTGAGAGCGGATGCAGGTAGCTTCCCTCCCTTACCTCTCCTCTCCTCTGCTCTCCCCACCCCCACCCCACCACAACAGGTATCGGTCCTTTAAGGTAGGGGGAATAAAGAACACAGTGTCAACTTGTCATGCACCACACCAAGCACACATAGGAGGGGAGAGCTCACAGGGGGAAGAGCTACTTCTAGCATTCCAAAAAGTCACACAAAGGGTAGAATCGTGCTTATGACAGGGACTGTTAGAAGCAGAACGCTTTCTCTGTGCGTGCTCACAAAATTCATGGGTTAGAGCCATGGCTTTCCAATGGGAAAGGAAGAGAAAAGAAGCAAGAAGTCTGGGAGGAAGGAGAAAAGAAGGGGAGCTCTCCATGTGCCCTAGGGGTGGGAGGCAAGAGGCATGACTGCTGTTTGGTAGCCTGAGGATATCAGGCTCCCAACTCCACTAGATAATGTCAACTAGACTGGGAGCTTTCTGAGGGCAGGGACCATGTTTGTTACTTCTATGTCTTTCCTTGCCTGGCCTTTCCATCTCAACAATTCTAAGCACAGAGGAGGGACTCTATATATGTGTATATACATATATATATACGTATATCTATATGTGTACATATATACACGTATAGACATACATACATCTCTGTCTCTCTCTCAAATAGGTATATATACATATATATATATATATATATATATGCAGAAAGAAGTCCTTTAAGCCCTTTGAACTGGATGCTGGGAGAGATGAGATTCAACCCCAGCTCTGTCAGTTCTCCAGCTGGGTGTCCTGAGCTAAGTCATTCTCCATTCCGTGCTTCAGTTTCCTCATCCTAGAAAGTGAAGATTCTACCTCTTCCCCCCCTCACCTCTCAAAGAGGTTTGGAGCAGGGTCGAGGCCATGGTTGTGGCCTCCTTTCAGTCCCTCCTCTCAAATCTGCTGTGGGAAATGAATAGTTTGTATGATGGTTTGCACGGCATTGGCACTCGTTCAAACAAGATTTCAGAGATGAAGCCCGGAGTGCCTTCTGCAAGTCACTGCCTAGGACTTCTCAGCAGAAAACACGCTAGGCAGCCTCTGCTCCCAGAAGGAAGCAGTAGCAGCAGAATGGAAGCTTCCTGAAGGCAGAGACTCTCTTGCTTTTGCCTGTGTGTTCCCCAGTTCTAGCATAGTTCTGGTACACGGAGGCAGGTAATGACTGTCTGTTGAATTCAAGTGTGTATGAAAGAAAGGCCCATTCCATTCTGAGGGGCCCACAGGATCCTGAACCACAAGCTGGGCTTTCCCTGAAGGAGCTGGAAATTGACCACTGTTCTGAGCTAGGCCCCTGCCCCTCTAAAAAAAGTAATAGTATCTTCAAATTTGATCTGTAAAACTAATAAAATAATCATATTGGATCTGTAACATGAAGAGCCTATAGAAAACAGCAGCCCCATCTCCAAAAACACAATTTTGCTGTCCGTACTACATTTTGTTTTAAGGACATTTCTGCGACTTATAGCTCAATCTTTCTTTTGCAGCTCAAGCAAAGTGGTAAGGTTTTTTTTTTTTCCTTCTGTGCTCCCATTATTAATTTTAAAGACACCCTTCTCAGGCAAATTAATTCTCTGGCATGGCAAGAAAAAAACAAAACAAAACAAAACAAAACCAAAACAGAGACTCACTGTATAGCCAGAAGGCATTAGCAATTTTTTCAAAGAATTCTTCTACTTGGTCATCCTAGAACATAAACTAGTACACAGGGGATTGTTAGCACCGCCCGGGAAGTGTCTGTACAACAGAAGAATCAGAGTTGATTGTGCATTCTCCCCCATCAGATCCAGAGGCTCCTGATTTCTAGGCCCCTCTGAGAAGGCCAATTGGCAAAGCCACAAATATCAGGGTGCCAATATGTTAACATGTGTGATTGGGCTATTGGGAGAGGGCAGTGAACACTAGTCCAATCACAGGAAAAAAAGGAAAAAAAAAAGAAAAAAATACTTGCATATACTTAAGAGGGGGGAGGGGGGTGTGTGTGTGTGTGTGTGTGTGTGTGTGTGTGTGTGTGTGTGTGTGTGTGCGCGTGTTTAAATGGCAGCCAATTCCTGAGCAAGCCTTGGGTGTAATCCTGACAAGACGGCCAATCCATCCTCCACCCTCAGCTCTCTTTAAACATAAAACAAACCCCCAGTCCCTTTAAAATGACCCTCCATCCACTAACCCTCCCAACTCCTCTCCCTCCCCAACTTGCTTCCCAAATCCCCCTTCAACACCCTCGCCCACCATAACAAAACCTTGCTTAAGAAAAAAAATTATTGTGTATCTTTTCTTATGTGTTATGTGCTGACAGACAGGTGAGGTAATTGCTAAAAAGAAATACTTTTTCCTAGCCTCTGTTTGGGTCAGCTAGGTGGGTGAAGGAAGAAGACCTGGGGAAACGTGTGTGCATGCATATGCACGCATGTGTGTATGTACATGTACATGCACGTGTGCATGCGAGTATGTGGTCAGAGCTCTGCTTAACTGCTGATCCCTAGCCTCACCAAGCTCTTCCTGTTCTTCTTCTCTGCCCTTTGTCCCAGGGAGTCTGGCTGAACTTTAAAGAATGGTGGGTTTTTTTGTCCTGTGTTACCACTTAATCCTTTTTCTAGGTTGTTTTCTAAGTTGGGAGCAGGAGCTATGCTTTTAGTACCAAAGTATGGATTTGGACTTTATGACTCTAAGTTAAGAACTGTAATCAAATCTTTTCTGACCTTCCTTCAGTAGCAGTTGGCCTACTAGGGGGAGGCCAGACACACAGGAGGCCCCATAGTTATTTGTTGGTTCAACTGGCACACAGTAGGCACACAGACAATTCTGGTTAATGATGATAAATACTACCAAGAACCCTTGGGAGGGTGTGCCAGGAGGGAGGGTGTGCCAGGGAGGAAGTGACATCTCTTTGAATGCTTCTTAAGTCTAGACCTTTCCTTTCTTGGGGAGGAATGGTTGCCCCAGGGGTTGCAGGGATCCACTGGGCATAGCTATATCACCGAGCCACATTCCTTCCTGTTCTACTTGCTGCTATGATTGAATTTAAAATATATATATATATATATGTATTTGCTCAACAGATGACCTTCTAAATGACAGGAAAGATGCATTAGGGACGGAACTTTTTTTTGTTATAATGAGATAGATAAGGCTGTTCTACTGATAGAAACAGGTAGAGGGGACACTGTATCCTGTAATCACTAAAACTCAATCCAAATAAAAGTCCAGTAGTATAAGGAATACGAGAGGCAGCTGTGTAGTGAAAAGGGCATTGGATTTGGAATTGGAGTAATCTCTGTTTTTCTCCAGTGTGACTGTGGGTAAATCACTTAACCTCCCTGGGTCTCAGTTTCTTCATCTGTAAAATGTGGAGGGTTGGATTAGATGACCTCTAACATTCCTTCCAGCTCTAAGTTAATGATTCTCTGAATGATTTCATCCTTGTGAATGGCTGGCTGGCTGACACAGCCTAACGTGCTTCCCCGTCCCTCTGTCCCTCATCTGGCCTGTTCCTGGGAGCTCTGTGGAAGCAGGACATTAAGAGAAATCCACGGCCATGTAAGGCCCCACAAAGGACAGTCCCCACCCACACCAGGCGGAGAGGACGGTGTACCCTGACGCTGCCTCCCCTTGCAGCCTGTCCGGCCCAGTCTCTGCCCGCAGGGTAGGGGATTGAACAACGCAGTAAAAGGTTCGGTACTTGCTTTCCTTACTTGAGCCCACCAGTGGGGACAGTGTGGCACTTCTTGTGCTCCAGCAGCTGCTCGGGAGTCTTCATAAACTTGTGGCACACGTCACACTCAAACATCCGTGTGATAAGGTGGATCTGCAGGTGGCGTTCAAACATGTTCTTCGTCTTGCAGACGAAGTTGCAGAAAACACATTCGAACCCTGAAAGGACCAACGTGTGTGTAGGTTGGGGGGGGAGGTGCAGAGGAGGGGAGAGGAGAGCGTGAGAAGGGGCCGGTCACCCTGCTTGTACCTCCCAGTGTCCCTCTTCCTGCCTGCTCTACACTGCCACCTCCGGTTACACCTCCTAGGGTCACTAGGCTGAGAGAAGACCGGCGTATGACGTGAGCATCCGCCCTCGCCCTCAGACACTGACTCACATAAGAATCAACCCAAAAAGTAATAATAATTTAAAAAAAAAAAACCCAAAGCAGTCAAAATTAGACTCTCAGAGCTGGAAGGGAATGAATTTGGAGGCCATCTAGTCCCCCCTGTACCTGAACAAAAATCCCCTTAACAACAAACGAACATCCCCTGCCATGGGCCACTCAGCCTCCCAGGCCTGCTGTCTCATTGCCATGGGCTGGGCCTTATCTTCAAGCCTCCGTTAATCTGCTGGATGGTGGCTGACAACAGCAGGCTGGGGAGATGGGGCTTGGGGTGTCCCGTCTCCCTTTACCTTTCTCTGACTTTTCTTCCGTGTTCATTAAGGACTGGCTCCCAGGCACTACGGAAATGACCAGGAGGTTGTTGCCTCCCTTGTTTTTCTGGGTGACGTCCGAGTCATCTTTGCTGTTAGCTGAATCACTAAGTGCCGACAGAGAAGATGAAGAAGGACTGTTGGATTCACTGGGAGTCTTTCTCTCTTCCCCTGAAGGATAAGACAAGCAGATGCCCCGTTAGACAGTAAGGCAAGATCGAACAAAGCAAAACAAAAATGACCACAAAAAAAAAAAAACCAAGAAAAAAGGCAGTGGGGTTCTGCCAGGGGTGGGGGGGTAGGGTGCCTCCAGCACAAGGCAAACTGACTGAAGAGCCAGTGGGAAATCTGGCAATGAGGATGGAGGGGAGCAAGCATCTTCCCTGACTCTGCTGGGTTGGAGATTGAGGCCCGGGGCAGAGAAGTGGATAAAGGATGTGTCTATATATAGATGCCACTGATGTCAAATCCTAGAAGGGCGTGGCTGCTACAGTGATGGAGAGAAGGAAAGAAACATTTATTAAATGCCTACTATGTGCCAGGCACTGTACTAAGTGCTTTACAAATATGATCTCATTTGGTCCTCACAACAGCCCTGGGAGGTAGGTGCCATTATTATCTCCATTTTACAGTTGAAGAAGCTGAGGAAGGCAGCTTGCCCAGAGGCACACAGCTAGTGAGGACCTGCGGCCAGATTTGAGACGAGGTCTTCCTCCAGGCCACCTAGCTGCCTCTACTGGCTGTAGAACAATCTAATTGTGACGTGACTTCACTAGCTCAGACCACACCAAACCTAGCATCTTCTTCTCGTGCCACAGGCCTCACGGTAGGGATACTTTTGTGATGCTGCTCTCGTGGTCTGGGAAGCACTAGGTGTTGGGTGAGTTTGGAGGTAAGCGGGCGATGAGGAGACGGCGCCAACTGAGAGGAGCAGGAGGGTGGGGACCTAGAGGAGGACCCCTGGATCACAGAGGCAGAGCTGGGAGTGATTTCAGAGGGCATCCAAGTTGGCTCTCTGATGTTACAGAAGAGGAGGGGACCAAGGCCTAGCGAGATGCAGGGATCTGCCCCAGGTCACTCAGGAGGTGGCTGAATATGGATTTATGTGGAAGTGAATAAAAGTGGTCGCAGGAAAAAGATCCACCCTGAAGGAGAAGGGCTCATCAAAAGGGCACAGAAGAGGCTGAAGTTCCTCGGACAAAGGGAGTTTTGATTCCGTGCCGCCATGGTGCAGAAAGCATCTATGCCCAGTTCTAGTTCGCTACTGAAGATGGACATGATGCTGCATTTTATCTGCTCTCATTGTTTTTTGTGTGTTTCCATATACGTATGTATTCATTTTTTTACTCTGAATTTCATAAATACCAGCTGCCCAAAATGAGTATTTCCAAATACAAAGTAATACACAAAGAGAGGATCATATGTGACAACATGAATTTCCATTATGTACATATTACTTTTAAAAAAGCATATAATAAAGTCAACATAGTACTTTCAAACCTGTCCTGCTTGTCTGTGCTTCCTTCTGAACTTTTTCTGTTCTCTTCTGTGCGTATCTATCTATCAAAATAAGCTTTGTTGTTGCCTTTTTTCCCTTCAGTCACTTCTAGATATAGACTCTCCCCTACCCACCTAAGCCCTACAAGTGAGGGCTGAAACAAACAAACAAACAAAAACAAACAGAAAATGGTTAAGCAAAAGTGAGGGATACTAAGAGTGACAATGCATGCAACATTCCATACCTGCAGTCCCCCAACCTCTCCCCCTCTTTTAACCATAACCTTTGATTCTTGATTCAGTAACTACTAGAATTTCTCTCTCCTAATTGAGGGCTACATTAATGAGAGTTGATGGAAAATAATTGATGGAACTTTGATCCAGGTTAAGTTGCCTAGGAAATTGGGACTTGGGACTTGTTCTCAAGGACTATCTAAACCATATTTCCCAATGACAGAAGAAACCACAGCTGACATTGTAAGTCTAAATATTGGTTTCTAGAAATCTCCATTCTAGGCACAAGCATTGGAAAATGTATCTTGTAGGAAGAGTGAGGAATGATGGATGCATGGATGGATGGATGGATGGATGGATGGCTTAAATGCTGGGCAGTAGCAGCAATGAAATGTAAGATAGCCCCAAGAAAGGCTTCCAATGCATTGAGTAGATCACCTGTGGAGGACGTGGTTAAGAATCACACAGAATGAGAAGGTGTGGAGGGACTGTGAGATGTGCAGTACAATGATAACAATAATAATAACAATAACAACAATGATAACAACAGTTAGCATTTATATAGCACTCAATGCACTTTACATAATTATTTCATTTGATCTTCACAAGAACCTTGTGAGGTGCTCTTCTCCCCATTTTACAGATGAAGAGACAGGCTAACAGAGATAAAGTGATGTATCCAAGGCCATAAAGTTCATTGAATGTCCAAGGCAGGATTTTTTATGTTTGTTTGTTTTGGTGAGGCAACTGGGGTTAAGTGACTTGCCCAGAGTCACACAGCTAGTGAGTGTTATGTGTCTGACGTTAGATTTGAACTCAGGTCCTCCTGACTCCAGGGCCGGTGCTCTATCCACTGTGCCCCTCCAAGGCAGGATTTGAACTCAGTTGTTCTGGCCTCGTGTCTAGCTCTCTATCGGTGGGAGTACTCACAATGTTGAGATCCCAGATCCATGGAAGGACTGAAGTAAAGTACCTTGAAGCTAAATCCTCCAGGGGCTTTCTGTAAGACGGTTCTCTTTTTAGTTCCCTTCCTGGCAGTCTGGGTCAGACTAAGACTGAATTGTTCAATAGGAAACAAGGCTTTTTTGGAGGTTCTCTCACCTCCCTTGGTCTTCTCTCACACTCTTAGGCCTTCTTATGTCTGACTGGCCAGAACTCTCAGATGAAGTACCAATGAGGAAGGGTAGACTCAGTATTCACAGAGATCTCTGATGCCAAAGTGGGTGGGTACTTCTTCCAATGATCCTGATTGTTAAGGATTCCTGCCCATCCCTCCTGGTTGACACTTGATCATTTCTTCCTCTAAGTTCATCACAGAGGTTCCATCCAGCATTCTGAGGTCTTTTCTTGCCTTCTCCTGAAATCATGAGGACGCCAATGGAGCACACAGCTCCCTCAATCTTGCCGTGGGCCAGTCCATCTTCTTTTTGGATCATTCATTTCTTTGATGACTTCCTTTCTTCTACATCTTCTTTGTAGTTCCTTCTTTGTGATATGCTGCAGCTTGCTCACACCCCAAATGGGTCTCTCCTTTGTTTTCTGAGTGATACTCATTTTTAGTTCTTCAGAGATTCTAGTATTACATGATACAGCCACACACCAACACTGGTAGAGTATTAAAAAGATGAGCCTTTCTTTCTGGCACTTGCTTCCTTCTTTCTGAATACCAAGGATGTTCTCTTTGTAAGATACTAGAGGAAATGAGGACTCTAGGGTATTTTGAAGGGGTAACTAATTTAATATCAGTACTGCCAATCTATTATGGATTCTACTTACCAGTACAGCTGTATTTTAGAAATGAACAGAACATTTTCTGTGAGGTACCGAATATATCTCTAGAATTGTTTTGCCAAATCCATCTTTTGAGGCTAGCTTATCCAATGGGGTACAATAAATGCTTGCTTTAAATTGCTTTTGAGAACTAAATTTTTTTTTAACATTTCAATTACTATCTTTAAAAATAGGCCTGTATGCCCTAAAGCTTACTGACATTAGACACAGCTACTGAATGATAACAAATTAATAAATACATAAAAGTGCTGAGGTCAAATGCTATCACAAGAAGGAAAAACAGTCCAGATTTTCCTTATTCTCAGCCCAATAGTTCTGGCTATGTCATCCCACCTACTTCTCTAAGCTGATGACTCATATTTCTATAGTTCTTTATGATCTACAAGGCTCTTTCTTCACAATCCTGGGAGGTAGGTAAGACAAATATTATTATCCCCATTTAACAGATGAGAACACTGAATTTTGGAAAGTTAAATAATTTGTCCCTACTCACTGAGGTGGGAGGCATCAAGAGCTACTCAAATCCAGGTCTTCTGACTCAAAATCTAATGCTTTTTCTTTAATTCTCTATATAATTCTCTATTATTAAAAAAAGAAAAGACAGATTCACAAGGACAGAATATACCGTATGTACATATGTATGTACGTATATATGTATGTATGTGTGCATGTACATATAAACAGAATAGACAGTGTTGCAATAGCAGGGCTACCATATGTATAAATAGACACAGATCTACATGCATATCACACATAACATAATGAAAGTGATCTAGACAACCTCTGAGGTCCTTTCCACTGCTAAAATAGTGTGATCTGATTTTGATGGAAGCCCCAGGGTAGTGTAGAAGGAGATTGACCCTTGGAGTGGAAGCCAGCAGACCTAGACTCTAGTTCCTGCTTTGCCACTAAAATCCTGTGCGGATTGGAGCAAGTCACTTGCCCTCTCTGGGTCTCACTTTCCTCATCTGTAAAATGAGGAGCCTAATTTTACCTCTCAAAGCCACGATTATCTCATCTATAAAATGGGGATGATACTAGAGATGAGTATGGGGTGGCGGGACAAAGGTCACAAAATCTCAGAGATGACATCCAAAGGCCACTGAGTCCGAAGGATACTTGATCAAGAATCTCTATAATGTTCCCAACCAGTAGCTGTCCAGCTGTCATTGGACTTAAGAGTCTGGGGAGATGGCGGTGGAGGAGGAAATCATAGCTCTGACATGCTGACCTGAATCAAAGAATCAGACTTAAGAGCTGGCGGGGGCCTTAGAAGTCACCTATTCCAATATGGCCATTTTACATATGAGGAAACTGAGGCTAAGGTCACATAGCTAGTAAGTAGCAGAGTTGGCATTTGAATTGCAGTCCTTGTTCCAAATCCAAGGCTCTTCCCATTTCACCATGCTAGGTCTCAGTTTCTTTTTCTTTAAAATATTGATAACAAAAAGACCTGCAATACCTCCATCACAAGGTTGTTGTAAGGAAAGTCCTTTGCAAAAATCTTAAAGCACCACACAGATCTTCTGGTAGAGGTAACAGAAAATGATGCTAATTCAGCGCCCTGCTCAATGAAGAGCCCAAACCTAGGAACAAGGAGGTGGGAGTAAGGGAGGTGGGGGGATGGGAGGGCTGGAGCTTGGTACTCAGGAAATGACCACATTTAAGACTGGTCAGTGGTTAGCGACAGACGTCCTCTATGGATACAGGTTAAATTTGAATCCAACTTTTCCTAAATACACATCCTAGTCATAACAGATGGCACGCTCCCCTGGGAAGTAGTTCCTGCAGGGTACAGCCATATTTGTGTAAGGGTACAAAAGAGGATGGAGAAAGGGTGGCGAGCTGAAGAAAGGAAGCTGGGATGTTTAAAAGGCCCACTGCCATAGAGCAAGTCTGGCTTTCTTCCATTCATCACAGAAATGCTCATTTTAATTTTCACACGGGCACCCCAGCTCACTTGCTGTGCATAACACTAACATGGTCATGGTCAGAAAGCTGCTTGTAAAAAATGACTCTCTCTGTCCCCCAACCCTCTTTCCCATCTCTCCTTCTCCCTCCCTCCCCCCTTCTCTCTCTCTCTCCTTCCCCACCCTCTCTCCTGTGTCTCTGTCTCTCCCTCTGTCTCTCTCTTTTTCTCTCTCCTTTTCTCCCTCCGCCCCCACCCTGCCCTCTCTCCTATCTGTCTCTCCCTTTCCCTCTCCTCTCCTGTATCTCTCTCTGCTTCTGTCTCCTTCTCTCTGGGACTCCAAGTTTTATCTGCTCAATTTACTGCCACAAACAAGCTTTTATTACTGTTGGCACCACAGAGCCAATGCAGCCTCAGAAGAGTGAGACAGATTCTTGTTGGCCTCGCACATCATCTGCACAGCCATCAAGGAAATTCCAGCTCCAGGGTCTCACTGGTCCAGATGATGGGATATAAAGGGGCTGACCCAACACAGAGGGCTGGCAGTTAGCAAAATCAGGTTTTAACGCGTGAGCATTTCAAATGGGAGGGGAGCTCATCTTCCTTCTCCCTTAAAGACTTCCACGTCTGTGTCATTTGTAACCATCACTTCTGAGATGGTAATTGCTTCGTGGAGTCAAAATGTTAAGATCATTAAGTGGAGGAAGTTAACCAGACTGGTGCGAGAGAGGAATGAAAGGGGATCTATTGCTGGCCAGCTCTTTGCCATGGCCTGCAGAGAAGCAGGACAGTTACAGGAGGTTTGGGGTTTTCTTCTCCAACCCTTGACCTCACTGGCTTCATTAGAGGAAAGGCTGCAAACGATATGCTGGACCACGGTGAGGGCTGAAAATTCTGGGGGGAGGATCAGAATGTCTCAGAACTAGAAAAAGCAGGGCCACAGAAACCTCCAAACAAGAAGTTTTGAATTCACCGCTGACTGGAAGATTTCATTTGGGCCTCAGCCAGCAAAACTCAGCCCTGGAGGAGGCTAGCAGCCTGGGAGCAGCTCTCCACCCGGCCTGGGCCCAACGGCTTCTGCGGCTTAACGATCTTTCAAACTAGCAAGGGGCAGTCCACGTCTGGCAATCAGCTCAGGGCTGGCAAAGTCAGCTCTGCAAGGGGATGGCGGGTGCTCTTGTCCTTCAAAATGTGGACAACTCCTTAGCTTTTCAGGGAGCATGCAACATGACCCTCTGCTTGGCATCTGGAGGGGTGAAGGTATTCCGGAGGAAGCAAAGGTCAGTCTCTGGCGGAGATAGGAGGGACACAGCTGACAAGTCAGAGGGGTCTGGCTTCCCTTCACGAGATGAGAGGAGGCTAGGGGTGGGAGGGAAGAGGCACCCAGGGAAGGAAAAGAAAGGGATTGCTTGGGATGACAACCTGCAGCATGCTTTCCACCTCTTGGCAGGAAGGTGGAGGACTACAGGTGCAGAGTGAGGCATACTCAGATGAGGCTGTTACGTTTATTTGTTTTCCTTATCTGTACTTCTTGGTTATACGAGGGTTCTTTGGGGAAGTATGGTAGGAGAGGGGAGGGTCATTGGGAAGTGAGATCAATATTAAAAAAAGAGAACATAAATAAAACAGTTTGGGGAGGGAGAAAAAGCAACGGTCACCTGTGTGCTTGGCGCTGATGTGAGCCTTAATATCAGCCTCTTCCATGGTGACAAAGTCGCAGGCGGTGCAGCAGATTGAAAACATCCACTGTTCCTTGTCCACGTGGAGGGACATATGACTGACAAACTGGACATTGAGCTCGGTCTCAAAACCACACACGTGACAACTAGAAGAGAGAATTTAGAGAAAGGGAGAGGAAAAGAGAGAATAGGAGGGAGAAATAGAAAGAAGAGTAAGAAATACCAATCGCTTTTTTTAAGAATACATTTTTATTAAATCTTTTTATTTTTACATCACCTATATTTATTCTGCGTTTATCCCTTTCAGGACAGTGAGGGGAGTGGCCCTGGGATTTTATTGGCATAGGGAACTCTCAGAAGAGGAACCCTCCCTCTGCCTAAGCAGGCTGGATACTTCTAAGAGTCACAGAGAGCTGACCTGAACACAGGCGCTGTGACTTGCCCAGGGTCAAACAGTTAGTATGTGCCCGAGGCGGATCTTGAACCCATCTCTCGCTGGCCCTGAGGCTGCTTCTCGGTGCACTACGCTATGCTGCCTCTCCTGCCTTATAACAAAAAGCAAGAAAAGGAGAAAAGAGCCGAGTTTATAAAAACTGATGTGTTAAAAGTCTGATGTTATCACGAGCAGCGCTCCATACCCCAGGTCTCCCAATTTTGCAAAGAAGTAGCTTTCTCATAGCTTTTCTTTGGGGCCAAGCCTGACCATAATTTTGCAGCATTAGGGTTCCCTTGTTTTGTGTTGTTGCTCCCTATGGAATTGTGTTAACAAAGAGAGAGCATCAGTTTCCACTTATTGTGCTCAGAAGGCCCCAACTTTACAAACGCCTTTTCTCCCCATCAAAAAAGACTTGAGTTTTTCCACTGGAAACATTCTTTTTTCTTCCATGCTGAAATGTCTCTGAAAAAGTGGCCACCCTGCCAAATGGATTACATGCTGGCATAATACAACAATCCCATACATGCTATAATGATGCTAAATAATCATAAAGTTAATTAAAAACTACAGATTCCAGATGCTGCCCATCACCTAGCTGATTCCTCTGGGCAGGAAGATGTACCGCAGCCCTGCCAAGATGCTGAACAGGGCGGGTACGCTGAGTAACCTGGAGCCCCGTGCAAACCCCAGGAGCCTCCTCTGGCTCTGGACAGCTCCCCCGTGTCAGGAACAGTGGGGCCGTGCACGCAGATCTGCATGCTGTGCCCAGAATGCCGGGGAGGTCTGTTATAGGACCTGCTAGAAGCCATACTGTTGTGAAAATGACTGTGATAAAGGCATATTTGCAGCCAGGCTCTTTGACCTCCTCCCAGGGTTAGGCAGATAGAGGAAGGATACAGAAACTTGGGTTTTATAGCAACCAAACTATCTGCCAGCTCCTGGACCTATGTGTGCTTCTGGTTTGCGGGGAGAGCTTTACAAACATTACCTCATTTGGACACCACAACAACCCTGGGAAGTAGATGTTATTATTATCCCCATTTTAGAGTTGAGGAAACTGAGGCAGACAGAGATTAAGTGACTTGGCCATGGTCACACTAGGAGGTATCTAAGGCCAGATGTGAACTGAGATCTTTCTGACTTCAGTTCCAATGTACTATCCGCTGGACCACTAGCTGCCTCTAAGACTCTTAGTCTTAAGTGGGGTGGGTAAGAATAAAAAAGGGTAGGTAAGGTTTGTATGCAGCACTGTCTCCCTTATCCAAGGATTTCAAGAGTCATTCTTGCTAATTCTTCTTCCCTCCCAACCTTAGAAGGCACATCAATATTGTGCTCAGCTGCACAGAGCTCTGACTTAGCACCTGGGGCCTGACCTCACAAAGTCATTGGAGAGAGAACTTCTTCTCCCCTGGGGCATACAAGAGCCACTGACCCAGGACCTGGAGCTGGACACCTCAGGCTGCAGGGCTTGAAGCATTTCAAGGGAGAAGGGAAGTCCAAGCCTCGTTCAGACCACCCCTTGGAGCTGACAGGCCCCTTGCTGTGACTCACTAGAAGGCTGGCAGCCAAGAGCTAGGGATCTTGGGGGCACAGCCCGTTGCTGGCCCTCACCTGTAATAATAAGGGTGCTTCCTTCCATCACTGCCTTCCGAAGTGACGGCGCTGACAATGTCCTCGGTGTCAGTGCTCACCAGCTTCACGGCATGGACAGTCAGGTGCTGGTTCAGGTTTGCACGGCACTTAGCCGCATAGGGGCACAAGTGGCATTTGAATTTTCTCTCCTCTGCAGGACAAGGAGAACAAAGAAAGCAACCCCCAGCCCCCAAATCAGAAATTCAATCACATCACCTTAAATGCCTCACTGCTGGAATGCACACAAGGAATGAGTTGAGTGTCATTTCAAAGAGGAAACCAGAGCCCCCCGTAATGGTGAATTTCTGAGAGTCCTGCTGACCAGGCAGGTATATGGCCACTGGACCCATTTTTTGTAGCCCTTGGGACCTTGCCTGTGTGGACATTCGGAGGGGATCCAGCCTCCCCTGTCACTCAATGTATTTGTGGCCATGCTTCTTAAGGGTTAAAGGCAGAGCAGGAGCAGGAAGAGAAGGGACAATGCCCACAGGATCACAATTTAGGGGCAAGCTGTGCCATTTTCTGAGCTCTGGTCTAGGTCAGCCAAGAGAATTAAAAACTGAATAGTATTAAACAAAATGGCCTGACTCATGAAACAATTTTATTTAAAATTTTCATTTTTCTTCTTCATTTCCAACATATAAAATGGAAAGTTTCAGTTGGCTTCTTAATAGAGACCAGTATGTAAGTGAGATGAAGGCTCCAGGATTATTCCCTGGGGTAGGGGTGGGGGTTGTCATTCTGGATTCATTTGCTTCAATCAAGCATCTGAAATTAAAGTGGCCTGCTTCATTTTCCTGAGCTCTAGAAAAAAGTTTGACTGAGCGGCAATGGAGTGCAAGGCCTTTCTTTAATTTTCCCCTCCTCTGCTGGGTAAGTTACTGGGTCTAACCAAGGAGAAAGTTCTGGCCTTACTTGATTCTGATGAGGGTCAAATAAGCTAACAGAGGGGATGGTACTCCGAGAAAACTGGAAGACTTGTCCTTTCCATTATCGTTTCTACTTGTGTTAGACTGTCCTTGATTTAGAGCTAGAAGAGATCTTAGAGACCATTAAGTCTTACTCCCCCATCTTACAGATGAAGACACTGAGGCAGAGAGGTGGCAAGTAACTGAGGCAGGATTTAAACTCAGGTCTTGTGATGCCAAGCCCAGAAGACTAGCCGTTGAGATGCTAAAACTATGAGTATGACCAGAGAGGCAGCATGGAGCTGGCCTGGAAACCAGGAAGGCCCGGGTTCAAGTAGTGCCTGTGGCACCAGACATTTTATCTCTCGTTGTTCTAGGCAGCTCAGTTCTCTAAGTTGCCTTGGTAGGGGGCGCTTCCTTGTCTAAGAGTTACCTATACTGTATGCACCAGTATATAAGGAAATATACCTACTCCTACATAGAAGGAAATCACCGACTTGAGTCTCTCTCCCTACTCTTAATCCTCCCAGCACTATGACTATGCTGGCAGGGCCTTGTTTACAAATGGGGCGTGTGTGCCAGAACTCATTTATGCAGCATCGCCCCCAAAAAACTGTTCTCTAGGTGGGTTTGGTTCACAAGCCAACCTGCCCGACTGATGTACTGTGCTAACAGTACCACAGAACTTAAGCACCATGTTTAACAGTATTTCTATGGGAAAATGAACCAAGAGTTTCTAACTCAAGGCATCAGGAACACACATCTCCCCTAGAGCTAAGGCTGTTGAACGAGGGGCTTTGGTGCCCAGAGATACAGCCCTGGCAAGGTAAGAACATGGAGATCAAGGGTGAGCAGAGATGGGAGTTCTGGATTAAGGAGGAGATCTAAAGTCTGTGGAGAATGAGGGAGGGAGCGAGGTTGGTAGAGGAGAGAGGAAAGGAAGGATTGGTGGCCTGATTCTCCCTTCCTCTCTCCTGGCCCTTGCCTCTCTTTTCCATTCTTCATAGGATCTTGGGACCAAGACCTGGAAGAGAACTTAGAGGTAATCTGGTCCAATCTTGTAATTTTATAGATAGGGAAACTGAGGTCTCAAGAGGACAAGCCACTTGCCCAAGATTAGAAAGTAATTAGTTTTATCTACTAAGCCATAATTGCTTTCCCTAGCTGTTTCCTCCTCTACTGCCTCAAAGATTTGGAAGAGTAGATGCAGGATGCAGGTAAGGAGAGAGGGGCTGGAAAGCCAGTGGAGTGAATTGAAGGTGATTCCATGGGGATAACAGGAGGGTGGTTTTTTCCTTTTTTTTTCCTTCATCTCTTTCCATTTATCCTTCCCCTCCTGTTCCTCTTCCCTTCTGATGACCAGTCCCAGGTGGGAAAGGAATATGTGTATGGTAGTTGGCTTTGATAGGACTGGAATTTTCTCCTCTTTTTCCTCTCTTCTTTGCTCAAGCAGAGCTGGGGGCTGTGAGAGGAGGTGAAAAGCATTGATAGAAACTCCCCAACTCCTTCCCCTCAAAGCACATTCTAAGTGTTTAAATCTAAATGAGAAAACCTATAAAAAAGTGGAGCTGGACCACAGCTGTGATCATAACATTTCCCTGAGTCAAATCCACTGAATTTGACACTGTGAGGTTGAGGAGAAACCCAACTGCTACAACATATCCAGAGGAAAGAGGAACCCTTCAAAATAAAGCACAGCCATTCAGTTCTTCTAGTACTTTGTTTAAAGACCAATTTATTCCAAATGATTAAGATTGGAGATGGAAAGGAGAAATGGGCTTTCATCCATTTTCCTAATTTCTCCTAAAGAAATCTGGCATTAGATGGAGAGGGCAGTGGAAGGACTTCAGTTAGGTCCTGGGGTGGTGGTGGTGAGTGTGTATGAGAAAAGCTCAAGGTTCACTTTACCTGTGTGCAGTGAGAGATGTCGGGACAACGTCTGCTGTCGGCCAAACACTTTCCCACATACGTCGCAGGGAAAAAGCTGGTCATTGAATTTCCAGGATGGTAATCCATTTCCTGCCTCCAACCCTATCTTGTCTGTTTCTGAGCCACAACATGAAACACAACGACAAACAAACAAAAACAACACAGAAGAAATTCCATTTTAGTTACATTTAAAGCCTTGCACAGAGCTCATCTTCTGGGGATATGATCAGGGACATAAGCAACAGCTGTCCCAAACCCATCCAGTAGGACTATTTTCTGCATATGAAACTGCTCCTGAAAGCAAAAGCAAATTTAATGTCAAATCTAGGTGAATTCGTAGTTGGATACAGGACCTAGAGATGGAATCTAGGTTTGATGTAAGGAAAAAAAAATATTAAAAACTGAAACTATAGTGGAATGGGCTGCCTTGGAGGGAATGGATTCTCTCCCAATGGAGGCCTTCAGACCCAATTCAAATGACATTTATCAGGCATCTTATATACAGATTCTTTTTCAGGGATGATTTGTATTATCTGACTACTGAGGTGCCATATTGATTCCGACATTTAGGGATCCTCTAAAACAGTTGATTATTTAACCTTTTTTGTATCATGGACCCCTTTGGCAGTCTGATGAAGACCATGGATTCCTCAGAATGAAGTTTTTAAATGCATGAAATATATTGGATTGGAAAAGAAAATAATTACATTGAAATATAAATTCATGGACCCCTTTGGACCTCATCTTATCCAAACATCTCATTTTGTAGCTGAGGGAATGCAGGTCCAAAGAATTAAGCGATTTGCATGGGTTTTCTGATGCCAAATCTTGGGCTCTTTCTACAATACCATGCTGAGTTTCTTCTTCTCTTTGGCTAAAGGTCAGCCGACCAACTACTTACTCAATAGATGTGCAGTGAATGAAAGAACGAGCCATCACACCCTGAGTTCACATTCGTGCCTCCAGAGAGCAATTTAACAAATATTTATTAAGCATTTAGTGTGTATAAGGCAGTGCTCTAGGAGCTTGGAATCAAAATGACAAAAGTAAAACATTCACTGATCTCAAGAAGCTTATATTCTATTGGCGAGAGGGCTAGGAGGGATGACAAATCTGAAGCCCTAACCCAAACAAACGGGTGGCATGTCCAAAGGCAACCTCATATATAAAAGCAGTGGACTGGAACAGATGGTCTTTAGTCCCCTCTAGTCCTAAGAGATAATCATTTCATCAATTTATCTTTATTCCTTTTCACAATCTCCTGCCTTTGTACACAAAGAGTAACCTATATAATTTTGGGCAAAATTCCCTTCCCTTCCCTGAGCCTCATATGTGAATCCAGTGGATAGGACCAGCCCTAAATTTTATTAGCACTGTGCCTTCTTAGATGTGGCCAGAAGAATAGGACAGCGAGGGTGGCACAATGGATAATTTGCGCAAAGTCATGGGGAGGGTTAGACTTCTATTTCTAAACCACGAGAGCCAGGTGGAGCAATTTTTAGCTAAAGGAAGACTTGTCAGACTCTGTAACTGAGCAAAGAAGAGAAGGATAGGCGAATCGGGAGAACTGGTGATGTCACAATGGCGTTTATGACTGGACACCGATGACAAAGCAACACTTGGTAAAACATTTTTATTTGTTGATGCCAGTTTGCTCAAATGTGGTTTTCAGACCCCAGCCTGAGATGGCAACTCTCCCCTTATTGGACAAAGACTGGATGACCAAAGAACTCCAAGTTGGGGAGAGAGAGGAGAAAAGGGAGGAGTGAACAGCCTTCACCTATTGGCCTGGGACAAGCAGTAGTGAGCTGTTCATTGCAACATGACTGCACTCGAGTTCAAGCAGTGGGCATTTCAGCCATGCCGTGCTGATAGGGATATTTTAGTGGTTCCTTTTAACTATGTAATCAAAACACAGCTTCAAAGGAAGAATATGGTAATAATTATACGAGAAGGTCAAGAGGGTACAGGATCGTCCAATACACTCACGACAAGAATGAATTAATTGGGTCACATACCGAACAAGTAGACACAATTAAAAGTAAATAAGTCTTTTAACAATTCCTCCAAGTATTAGTCATTCAAGCTCTTCTGTGCGCTCCAGAAGTTGAAATGTTGCATTAAAAAAAAAAAAAGGTCTGATTTCCTTTACTGAACTCAGGAAAAATAACACCAGCACCACACAATGAAAAAGAAGGACATTGACCCACCACAAAAACACAAGGATAAAGCTGAAGCAAGCAGGAGCCAACCAGGAGGAAACCAACGGGAATCGCAACTCTTCCACTGGATTCCTGTGTGATCTGGAGCAAGTTGCATCCTCTCTCTATGCTTTCTGAAGACAGGAAGACCTCCATTCAAATCTGGCTTGAGATACTTACTAGCTGTGTGACCCTGGGCAAATCACTTAACATCTATCTGCCTTGGTTTTCTCAAATGTAAAATGGGCATAATAGTGGCACATAATAATATGACACAATAATAACTTCCAGGGTTGTTATGGGATCAAATGGGATATCTATAAAACACTGCACAGTGCCAGGCACTATAGCAAAGGGACCTCAAGAGGGCCTCCAATGCAACTGTTTCATTTGATAGGTAAAGATGCAAACATCAGAAAGGTAAAGGGACCTCCCCAGTGCACAAAGGCAGTAAGGGCCAGAGGAAGGATTTGAACCTGGGCCGTCTTACATCAGATCCGTCGGCTCTCCCACTGTATCACACTGCCCCTCATAGAGAAAGGCCAGTTATTAGTTATGGTTATTGGACGTGATCTCTTCAGTCTCCCATAGCCTTTTCACCAGAGCCTCTGCTTTGCACTTATCTCGGTTTCTCTTGGACAACACTGGACTTAATTGGTGGATGGACTTACCTTTTGCCCACTAGAATGGAAGGAATCTCTTAGTTACAGTAGAAGATGGCTTTTAAGTTAAGAAAAAGTAAACTATTGTAGAATTGGGTTCCTTTTATTCAAGTTTAGAAACCACCAAGTCAGCAAATATCAGAGAAAGACAAGGGGCTAAGAGACGGAGTTACATTGACAAAATTAGTGCTATGGCAACAGGTTCTCCTCAAACTTGGGTCCGGATAAAGGAAGTGGGGATTCTTCCCTTGCTATTTGATCTTGGGAAAAGTATTCTGAGCCTGTTGAAGCCTGGGGGAGAGGGCCAAGTTTGCTGTTTAGCACTTAAGGGGCCCCACAGTGGAATAAGGAGGGCAGAGAACACATAATAATAGTCATGGCTTTTATTTTAAGTGTAAATGAATCCCAATAACATCCACATGAGATCAGGAGAAAATAGGCATTATTCCCATTTTACAGTTAGAGATACTGAGGTCTGTGATAGAACTCTGGTTGAAACAACTTTCTAATTCACAAATCACTGTTTTTGTTCTATGCAACAGCATTGGTTGCCTTTTTATCTTTTTTTTTAAAAGCAAAAAAAAAAAGAAAGTAATTGTAGGTTATGGCAATTCCTCTAGGTCCCTTGCTTCTGCTCTATCCCAGTGTGACCTTTTCATTCAAGAGAAGTCCTCTCTTGATAATTCTTTACTGTTACTATTAAAGCTCTTGTTTTCTATTTGGCTTGCCTCACAAACCCCAGAATTCTATGATGAGACCTTCACTCTAGTTAAATGTCATCAGTGAATGCACTATCAGCCTGAACTCATGTCCATTTCAATGATCTACTTCAAAGCTCTGACACAAAGCAAACATACGTTGGTTATAGCACCCATCATTTCTATATACCCCTTCTTTCATTACTATTTTCCCCTCAATATTTTTCTTCCTCCCCATATAAAAACATTATTAGGTTCATAAATTTAGAATTAGAATGGACTTTGGATCTAGTGCAACCCTCCCATTTTACAAATGAGGAAACTGAAGAGGTAAAGTACCTTGCTCAAGGTCACATAGGTAGTACATCAGAGGTAGGGATTTGAACCTAGGTCTTCCAGCTCCAGATCTGGTACTCCATCCACTGCCTCATGCTGCTTTTCCTGTTTCATTCCATCAAATTCGTTACAAATCTCATTTCTAATATAAATCTCATTCAATGAAAGAGCTTATATTTGGATAATATTTTATACTTTCTTCCCACTCAAACGCAAGCTCTCCCATAGACCTTTAATTTCTTTCCTTAGGTTCTTCTCCTCAACCTCTGGGATACTCAAAACTTGTTCCCATGTCTCCTGAACAGGCTACTATCAGATTTTCCCAATCTTCCTTTCTCTATATGGTCACTTTCTGTCATATCTTTGTCCTACATTGGTCTTCACTGTTCTGACTTTAACAAGTAGACAGAGGGAGGTATCTTTGATCTTTATCTTACAGATGGGAAGACCAGCACAAAGAAGGTCATGGTTTGCCAGGGTCACAGCTAGTCAGCTGCAGAGCTGAGCTGAGAACTTAGGTCTAGCCCAACACTTTTCAGTAGACCCTACCTCTGGCTTCCCATCATTTTAGGGAGTCAAGTTCCTGTAGCAACCTGCTCATAAGGCTGCAACGGTGCTGAATTTGGAATGTGGAATGCCAATCGGGTTGGTATCCCAGCTTTGCCACTCAACAGCCATATAACGACGGTGGGATCTTTAGCTCTTAAGTGAGAGGGTTGAATTAGGTCACCTCCAGGGTCTCTGCTGGTTTTATAACAAAGCCCACTAATGAGAAGCCGAAGAACCTTATTCTGATGGTCCTAAAGGAAGAGCTAATGATTCGGCTAGACTTAACTATTCTGCTTCTCGATATGTACCCCAGGAGAATAAACTTCATTTTATTGAAAAGTACTGAGGTGGCTCAAAGACCTTTGAGGTCTGAATTCAAGCCTCCCTTCTTCTACTCAACAGCCGTATGACCATGGGCAAATTACTTAACTTCTCTGGGCTTGGACACACACAGCTTCTCTTGAATCTGTCTCCTTCTCTCCCCTAATTTAGATCCTAGTGGCCTCTTGCTTAGACTACTAGACAACAGCCCGCTAATTGCTCTCCTTTGATCTCTTCTGTCACCTTCCTAATCCAACCTTTGATCTGCTGAAGTGGTCTAGCCACCACAAACCACTACTTACTCTTCCTCAAACTTAGCATTCCACCTCCTACCACCGACCCTTTGTACT